ATGGGATGGGGACGGGCAGCCCCCCGGTCCCGGCCAGTGGCCAATCTGCAGGAAAATCACCCCAGGCTGCCTTGCAAGTCGGTGTGCCAGGCGCTTCCCCCGGGGCACCCGCCGTGCTGGAAGAGCTGCTGAGAGCGCTGCAGCTCCCGCTGAAAGGTCCCCACCGTCACCGGGGAGAGGGGGCCGAGAGGGATCTCAAGGCAGGAGCAGGGGACAGCAGGGAGGAGGCACAGCGGGGCTGGGCAGCAGAGCCAGGTGCTGTCTCATCTTGAGACCAGGAAAAGCCGAGGTTCCTTCCTAAAGCCAAGCCCTGGTGGGGTTGTCGGGTCAGGCATGGTGAAGGAGCAGGTGAAGACACACAGGAAGGCCTGGGAAGGGCATGAGGAAGAGGAGGAAAGTGTTGAAGGCAACCCACAGGCTGGGTCCCATCATCGCGTGGAAGCAGCCTTCCACTGCCGGACACGTGAAAACATCTCCATCAACCAGAGAGCGTGGCAGGAGCTGCGGCTCTACTACATCGTGAGTGCCCAGCCTGCCCCATCTTCCTGCCCATGAAGGCACCCACCCTGGTGCTCATTCTCTAACCCAAGCCTTTCCCAATCCCCAGCCAGAGAGGGAGGGGATGTTCCACCGTGGCTCAGGGCTGAACCTGACCAGCGGGCAGTACACAGCCCCCATTGCAGGGTACTACACCTTCACCGCCACGCTGCACATTGGTAAGCCCTTGGGCAACCCCCACGGCCCCGCCAGGGAGGTCCAGGATGGCTCTCACCCTCCCCTCTGTCCCAGTGCGCAGAGAGCAGCGGAGGAAGGGGCAGCCATGCAGGGGAAATCGTCTGCGGGTGCTGATTTGCGTGCAGTCCCACTGCCAGCAAAACAGGTAGGGCAGGGCAAAGCCAGGAGAGGAGAGGGACCCTGGGCAAGCGAGGAAGGAAGGAGTCCAGCATCCCCAGGGGAAGGAAGGACATGCTCTCCCCAGCACTACCCTCCCTCTTCTGCAGCAACTTGGAGACCGTGTCCTGGCTGGAGAGTGGTGGTGACCTTTTCACCATCTCCGTTTCTGGAGTCCTTTACCTGCAGGTTAGTGGTGCCAGCTCCGCTCAGGACTGTGCCAGGGAGGACGGTGCCTCCCATGGTCCCAGCTCTAGGGCTGGCTACCAAGTCTGTTTCTCAGCCCAGCTCTGAGCCCAGAGGACACTCAGGGTTGAGGGCTGCTGGGACACCACAGCACATACCATGGCTGGGCTGCCCTACTGGCCTCTACATCATCCTTTTCCCAGAAGGAAGGGGGAGCTTCCTTCCTGAGCTGCGCACAAGGGAGAGTGCTCTCCTTTGCTCTGCCAGGCTGTGCTCAGTGCCTGGAGGGGAGGTGTCCCAGCCCTGTTAAGCCCTCTCTCCCTCCAGACTGGGCAGTATGCCTCTGTTTTCGTGGACAACACTGCAGGCTCTCCCCTCACCATTCAAAGCGGCTCCGATTTCAGCGCCATTCTGCTGGGAGTGTGAAAAAGCACTGGGCACCACACAGGAGCAGCTGGACCCTTCCCTCTGCCAGCCCCTGTCACGCCTCCCCTGCTCAGCACCAAGCCCAGGGAAGACCTTTCGCTGCTGCGGGAGCTGCAGTCTGGTCCAATACTGCTCATGCTGCAGAGCCATCTGAAGCTTGACAAAAGGATGATAATAATAATAAAAACGAAGCCTGACAAGGAGCTAAAGGAGTTTACTTTTATCTAGAGGCTAGGGCTGGAAGTTTATCTTGGAAAACACTGTTGACAATGGCGGCAGTCAGCTGCTTTCTCTGCAGGGCTCAGCTCTGCCAGGCATTGGTGCCTGGGACAAAGCCCCACACCTCCATTTTTGCTTTCAGCAGATTTCCCTGCCCAGCTTCTCAGCAGCCCAAAACAGATTATTTGCATCGCTTTAGCTTCCCTGCAATGTATTAGCAGTGAATGTTTGCTGGCAGAAGCCAATGTCCTTTGCAGCTAATCTTCAAAGCAGAGCAATGTCCTGATAATGCTGCACATTCGATTAAAGCCAATTCCTGTCCCGTAGCTTTCCACGTCAGGCGTTCCCTGCCCGTGGCACAGGGCCCAGGCCCTGGGCAGCACAGATATGCTCCTTGCTTCGGCACTGATAGCCGTCTGAGCCAAGGATGGATACAGGGCTACGTGCCTGAGCGAGGGCTGCAGGAGAGGTACCCGGGCAGGCTGGGTGTGGGGCAAGGGAGCCACACGTTTTATTTCTTAGTAGCACGTAGCACTGGGCAAGCTGTGCCAGCAACACCACAAGATAGCCCAAACTGCAGCCAGCCCCACCTTCCCCGAGGGATCTGCACATGTAGGCAGGGGGAAGGCAGCCTCCTTGTGCTGGACCTCACTCAGGAGGGCTTTCCTGGCCCTGCCTGGCCTTCTCCACAGGCTGCATCTCCTCAAGGAGCCTGATGAAGTAGCTGTTGCTGCAGCTCCTCATGGGCTGGGGTGGGAGTGTTTGGATCCGGGGGCAGGGGGAGGGCTCTGGCTGTGCAGTTTTAATGCTGACTTCTTCCCCAAGGCAAAGAGAACATGTCTCTGAAAGGAAAGACATGCTTTTACCCCAGCTGAATGGGTGGGCTGCAGCATCCTGGCAGAGGTCTCTGCAGCTCCTGCCCAGCTGAGGAGCTCGGCCCAGGCAGCACCTCCCAGTCACCACATGTGACAGTGAGCCAAGGCAGTCTTGCTCAGATCAGCACCTTCCCTTCCTACCAAACACACCTGAGAAATTACAAAAGGACTCACTGTTGGAGAGCAGGCCTTGCCAAGCTGGTAAGCCATCCTCTGCAAGCGAGATATGAAGAGCCCAGGGCACTTGAATGCAAAACTGAAAGGGTTGATTAAGTCAGAGATACTGGGGGGCTAACTGAGGTATTGGGAGGGGGCTAGAAGCTCAGTCAGCCCCATGGGCCACCCCGGGGTGGTTGTCCTGGAGCTCCCACAGTAGCAAGACGCTGCTGAGCAACGAGCCAGAGAGTTTATTTTCAGGAAACCTCTTGCACACTCCACCCTACCACGAAACACAAGCAAACATTTTTTTTTACTTCCACTAAAGCTGGGGTTGAACCTGCCTTTCAAACTGGCTGGCTACTCACAAGCATGGTGAAACCTCCTCCACAGTGCTTCCTTTTCCCCTTTGCCCTGGAAAATGGATGATACGATCCATTTTATGGAAAATGTTATTAACTGTACCATAACATTGTTTATTATGTTCCTAGTTGGAGTTGTGCTTTTAGTACACTTTCTAAAGGGAAGGAAAGAAGAGTTGTAAGAGGAGGGAGGGGGAGAGAAGACAAACAGAGAAGGACAATCTGATACTTCTCTCAGCAGCTCTTGTGCTGGAATTAAGAGGGGCCTCCCGGAGGGAGCACCAGAGACGGGTGCTTGGCTCAGCTCTTGCAGCACAGCACACAGCTCTCCCCAGCACAAGAGCTGTGAAAAGCAGGGAGGCGAGAAGGGAGGGTGAGTTGCCCTTCTGAGATCGGCCGTCAGGGTTTCTTTTGCCACAGACTGAATAAACTCCATGCTACTCCGTCTTGGCTCTCTAAATTTGACTTTCAAGAGAAGCAGCAGAGTGTGTTGCTAACATGGGCAATTCCCTCTCAGCTCATCCTGCAGTGCAACCTTACATCAGAGTATGCAGGAATGGCTGGGAGCAGAACAAGCTGGCAGAGGCAAGCGCTACTCAAAATATGCGCCAGAGGCCTGCTTCCTTCCTCAGTGCTCTGCAGGAGATGCAGAGAGTTAGCACAAGCTAGGCCGAGTTAGCCTAACCATTAGCATAAGCCCATGAACTTTAACTGACTTCTGCTGCAGCAGAAATAGGTGAAAGACAGTCAAGCCACCTGTCCCAAACAACAGGATAGCTTTTGTGTGCTCAAGAAAACAGATAGCCCAGAATCCAGGACCAAAGCTCCCAGGAAACACAAAGCTCCAGGGAACAGAGGGAGCAGAAAATAGCCCAGGAAGCCTCACAACCCTGTGCGGACTATGCACAAACAGCAGGCACACACCAACCTACCCAACCTCTCTCTGGGACTGCACCATTTCTCCTGCAGAGCAAGGAGGTTGTGCAAGAAACCACTGCACAGACCCACTGGCTTATCTCCCTCACTGCACCATCTCACCCGTAGGACTGGAAAATTACGTCATCTGGAATTTAAGTGCTTTGGTGGCCCAATCCATTTAGCTTTCACACTGTCATTTGGACTTAAGCCAAATTTTCTCTGGAAAACAGCACACCAACTCTGCAGCAACAGCTGGTAGAGGAATGGGGACGGGATGAGATACCAGACACTTAATAGCAACAAGCACCTAAAACCCGAGATGCCTGCTCCTCAGATAGCACACAGACAAGCACAGAGCCTGCCCTTATCTCTGCTGCCTGGCAGGTCCATTTGCTGAAAACACTTTCCCAATAAATATCAGGAGCAAATTACAGCCACTTTTGCCATATCAACAGCCAGGCTAAAACCCCAATGTTTTCTGCAAGCAGAGGGAAGGTACACTGCTGCTCTGCAAGCGGCATTTGTATCACTCAGCTGCATGCAACCTCACAACCCAGCTTCAGAACCAAAAGATTTCCTTCCCAGCACTAAGAGGACAGCCCACACTGCATCATAAGCTGGTGGTCTGGGGTACTGTACAGTCTATATGGTACAGCCCGACCGGGAGCTCCCACTGAGTCCTAAGAGCTCAGGACTCTCCCAGGGCCTCATACAAAGCTCAAAGAAACAAACAGCAGAAGTGCACCGTTTGGAACAGCTGGCAGAGTTCATGCCCACAGATGCCTGCTCTTGCTAGCACCTCTGCCAAATGGATTTATTTGGTTTGCCAAGACATTCACGGGGGGGTCAACAGGACAAGAGATTTCTGCATAGGCTGATCCAATGCAGCAGCCACTTAGAAAACACTGCTAGCCAAGTAAGCTAAAACTATTAGAAAAAAAAAACCCACAACTTTATTTACACTGAAGAGCATCCAGCAGGACCCTCCCTGCCCCAGCCACACATGCACGCACACCGACTTCTCCCTTCCCTTACATCCGCCACAAGCTAGGGATCCTGCTGCCGCACCTCATCTCTCAGTGCTCTATCCGGACCACCATGACCGTGACGTTGTCCGCCGACCCTCGCTGTACTGCCTTGTTGGCCAGTCTGTTACACGCAGCTTCATATCTAGCATCTGCTTCTAGCTTCCCTTCTCTCGTCTGGATGTTCTTATCCTGTTTGGACAAGGAAAGATGACACTGATTGCTTCCAGCAAAGAACATAGGTGCAAGCACATGGTAATTTCCAAGCATGGGGAAGCAAAACAAATAAGGACAACCTCAGGTATAAGGGAGGATACCCTGACAGAAGTACATTTCTGCAAGTCAGAGTCATTCTATTTTGTGCCCCCTGCACTGACAAACCCAGCCCCCATGCTGCCTTCTCCTCACCTCCAGGCAGGACACAATGAAGTTCACAGCTTCTTCTGGTGTAAAAACTTTAAAGAGGCCATCACACGCTATCAGAATGAACCTGGAAATCAAGCAGAGACAGGTTCCAAAGCTGAACCTTTCGTTCCCCAGCTACAGCAAAATCCCTTCAAGTATGAGTACCCACACTCCAATCCAAAGGGAAGATACCATAAAGCTCATCTGAAAATCCCTCGGAAGCACCAGAAATCCCCTGGTGCTCCAGAACATACCATTCACAGAACTGAGGTAATCCAAAGTACAGGCCAAAGAGCCAGGCAAACAATGTAAGACCTAGATCAGGACATCCTGGCAGTCCTACTGATACTGCACCATTAGGCAAGACCATATGCCACACCCTGCTGAAGAGCTCCATTATTTCTCTAGGAACTGCTTCTTTCCTTTGAGTCCTTTTCATTCACATATTTTCCCTTGTGAACTAGCTAATGCAAGGAAATAGAGAAATAAAGCCATCTTAATACCTTATGTGCATCCCTTTAAATCCTTTACATTTCCATGCTCCTGAGGAATGCAATAACTTAATTTAAATAGAAATATTCAAAAGAAAAGCGAGCAGCTTAACCCAAAAGTAGAGGCATAACTCTGATCGGAAAACTCTGCCACAAGGTTATTGCCGCAGGCTGCAGAAGGTTGAGGGGATACAAAGCCCAAGGCAGGGAGAGCTGCCTCCTAGCTCCCCACCAGAGGATGGGTGAGACAGCCTGCTGTGCACTCCCTGCCTGCACAGGGGATTGTATTAACAAGGAGCCCTAACCGGAGTCACCGGACAAGAAGAACTACAACCATCCCACAGAGGTGGCCAGCCTGCCAGAGGAGCACATGTCTCTGGAGACATCATTTCAGAGCCTGATACTCAGAATAACTTCAGAAACACTGCAGTGGATCACTTAACATGGAACTCTAATCCCAGAAAAAGCAGCAGTACTGGGTTACATTCTCACCTCAGGGAGCCTGCAGGGTCACACTGACATGAAAGCTTACAGCAATTTGTCATTGCCAATCATGTGTTAGAAAAGTATCTCAAATCTTCAAGTATCAGAGCTGAATACAATGGTATTTGTGGTCACCATGGCTGCTAGAAACAACACTTGGACAGGATAGGGATCCAAGAATTCAAGCCTTAACCAACTGTTTGAACACTGGTGTGTGAACTTATTTAGAGCATGAAGGAAGTCTAAGGCTTGTGTATGTTATCACTGCTGTGAGGCCAGTTTCTCCAACAGGAGCCTTCACAGTACCTTGGCAGAGTGAGGCAGCAGCATTATCCCACTATACCAATAAGGAACAGGAGCAGAGACACATGAGCAGTAAGAGCATCCTCTAATTCTGAGTGATCAGTCTGACGTGCCTCGGCCCTAACTGCAGAGCATACAGCGTCGTGCAGCTTGTGCTACTTCTGCTGAGCAGAGCTAGGATGCAGCCAACCCCCTCGTGCATGTGCACACATTACCTGTCGTTGTGCGTGAGTTGGCAGCGTTTGATATCTGGCACAGAGATAACACCACAGCGTTTGTACTGGCCATCCCCAATGGAGCGGGAAACCTCTAGGACTCCTAGGACTCTTCCGTCCCTGCACAAAGAAAGAAAACATTGAGACCCCTCCCCACACATGCACATCTCACTGCACTGCCTGATGGGGACACTCTTCATGGTGCATTCAGCTGCCTCGTAAAAATCCTGGCCCACTTCCCCAGCAAGTTCAAATCTTCCCTTCAAAGTCTCCTTCCCTTTCTGCACATTTGGGAAACAAGTGGAGAGGGGGAAGAAGACATGAAGTCAAGAGAATTCAAGGCTATTTTCTGTCTCCCTGCCCTAACTCAAGTCCTGCTTAGCCTAGCAAGCCAGGGAAGTAAGAGTTATGTGCTGAGCTGAACTCCCGGAGGCGGAGGTTTGAATTCACAGATTATTTTTTGGCAAGGTATCTAGCAAACTGCATTTCAATAGAAGCACAGAGTGGCAGCAGGCAAGACCAGGTCAGAGCCAGCAGCTCCTCCTGTCCTCTGCCTATCAGGACACCAACCCCTATAGACTGGCTCAACTCGGGGCAGTTCCAAGAAGCAAGAACCACAGCACTTTCTCCTGATCGCTTGGTCTTTACTAACCACTGATCGCAGCAAACAGTTCTGTGAAACCCGAGTTACAATCCTCCTTAGGAAGCAGTTTTGTTTGCTAAATTTTTCTGAGTGCTGCCCCAAGAGAAGCAGTTTTCCACACTCCACCTTTCCAACAATCGAGCATCTTCTCCCCCAGAAGGCTCTACTGTGCACTCTGGAAAGACACAAGCTCATTCAACTCATAGTCCAACCAGCCCCACTTAGGATAAAAGCAAGAAGCGAGGCATGTCACAGAGAAGACATCTGATGCTCACACACTTTGCAACTTCTCTCTTGGGTCCAAAATATTGAACTACAAGCAGTGGAAGAGGCTCCCAGGCAGCGGGGAGATGTTCCCCCAGTTCTGAAAAGAGCTAACAGACACTCGCCCATCTCTTTCCTGTGTGCAAAGACAGATCAGTGCTAAGCATAAGCAGCAGCATGTGCTCTCTGGAGATAAGGGGACCAAGGCCCTCCAGACATGGCAGCATGACAGAACTGAGCCCACCCCTCGCCACCCCAGGGGGCATTCTGCCTCCACAGGCACTAAGATACTTCACCTGCACCGAGTCCTCTCTTCTGAGGATGCCATTAAATCAAGAAACAGCCTTCAAAGAAGGAAGAGAACCTAGCCAGGGAAATCAGACACAGCTGCCCAAACAGCCACACACACCTACATGCACAGGAACATTAAGATAATCCTGCTCTGGTTCCAGAAACCTCCCTCCTACTGTAGACCACCTCAGTGCATCAGCTAACCCCCATGGGAGCAACACTGACTGACATTGAGGGCTTCTCGCGTCCTCTCAAATCATCCCCTCATCTTACAGGACAAGGAGGGACAGCTGATACTGCAAGCAAGGAAGTGAGCTCTGTTCAATGCCACAGTGTGGCACAAGTGGTAACGTCTTAAACAGTCAAGTCCAGCTCTGTAGGTCCAACTCTGCAGGTCAAGCTTAAGCACACCCATGCACTGCCAGGCTTTCGTGTGGGTTCCTGCCTTTGCAGCACAGCACCCTGCTGCCATTATAAGCCACTGGGAAACCAGCCCCCATCAACGAACTCAAGCTACTGAATCCTTAGACATCTCAGGCACCACTGTGCCTCCCACAGGCAGCAACAGATTCTCTTCAGGCTCTCACTAGCATGAGCGCTGGGCTCAAGAAACTCCAGAAACTCAGTGCTCAGGCCTAAAGTTGGGCCAGGGTTTAGATCTGCTCACTCACACCCTTTAGGCACTTACCTGACATTTCCCCCAGCTTTCTGTATCCGCATACGCTCCTCATATTGGGTGGGGTTGTGCTCTTTACTGAGGCTTAAGGCCGCATGTTTCTGACTCTCTTCATTGTAACGACACAGAATCGCCTGTGCTGACAAAAGACCCTTGTGAGTAAACAACAAAACTGCAGCAACAAGAACTTCTTGAGAGAGAGCTGCAAGTTGTACTGAATGGGGCTGCATCTGGCTGGTGACCAATGGTGTTCCCCAGGGCTCAGTCCTAGGGCCAGTGCTGTTCAATGTTTTTATCAGTGATCTGGATGCAGGAGTTGAATGCACCATTAGCAAGTTTGCTCACAATACCAAACTGGGAGGTGCTGTTGACTCTCCGGAGGGACAAGAGGCCTTGCAGAGGGATCTAGATAGATTGGAGCATTGGGCAATTATCAATGGCATGAAATTTAACAAGTCCAAGTGCCAGATTCTGTGCCTGGGATGGCGTAATGCCAGGCACAAGTATAAATTGGGAGAGAAGTGGCTGGGGAGCAGCCCTGCAAAAGGGATCTGGGGGTGCTGGTCAGCAGCAAGCTCGACAGGAGCCAGCAGTGCGCCCTGGCAGCCAAAAGGGCAAACTGCATCCTGAGGTGCACCAAACAGCATAACCAGCTGGCCAAAAGAGCTGATAATCCCACTGTATTCAGCACTGGTGTGGCCTCACCTCGAGTACTGTGTGCAGCTCTGGGCCCCACTATTTAAGAAGGATGTTAAGGTACTTGAATGCATCCAGAGGAGGGCAACAAAGCTGGTGATGGGGCTGGAATGCATGTCCTATGAGGAGTGGCTGAGGAGTCTGGGTTTGTCTAGTCTGGAGAAAAAGAAGCTGAGGGGCAACCTCATTGCTCTCTGCAGCTTCCTGAGGAGGTGACGTGGAGAGGGAGGACACTGATCTCTTCTCCCTGGGATCCAGGGACAGGACGCCTGGGAATGGTTCAAAGCTGTGCCAGGGGAGGTTCAGGCTGGACATTAGGAAGTATTTCTTTACCGAGAGGGTGGTCAAACACTGCAACAGGCTTCCTAGAGAGCTTGTCAATGTCCCAAGCCCATCAGTGTTTAAGAGGTATTCGGACAATGCCCTTAATAATATGCTTTAACTTTTGGTTGGCCCTAAATTGGTCAGGCAGTTGGACTAGATGATCATTGTAGGTGGCTTCCAACTGAAATATTGTATTCTAGATACTGTGAGATATTTAGCACCACCAAGAGAGAGCTACCACACGCAGTTGTTTTACACTATGGGAGACAACACAGAAGTACCCTGCACCCACCCAAAACAAGATGCTTTGTAGGAACCGTTGGGGAGCTCACAGCAACTGGGGCATCCCACAAAAACACCTTGCCCTTCAGGGCAAATAAAGCTCTTGGAAGAATCAAGACGCCAGCAGTGTTCTCCATTCTGCTTACCCGGCTGTCCCCGAGGTTGGCTATGTAGAGAATATTGTCGACAGCTAGGACACAAGTAGCTGTGGAGCCATCCTTCCACGCTGGCTTCCTGAAGGGAACAAAAATGAGGTTACTAAGGGGAGAAAACAATGTTTAAGAAGTTAGTCACAGAGTGCTCTGGAGGACTTAAGGAAATTTCATGTGCCAACACACAGCAGTCAGCTAGCACAAGCCCCCAGCAGCTGCCTGCAAACAGCTAGGGAAACTGTTGGTGGTAAATAATGAGCTTGACAAGGACAGAGGAGCTGCACAGAGTACCGCCTTCTAAATGCATGGCCAATGCCCAGCTGGTTCAAGTACTGCCAGCCACGCTCTCCACACCAACCCTTCCTCACACTCAGCTCCCAGAAGAGCTCACCTGTGGCTGTAACAGGCTCAGCCCCGATGGCTGCCCAGAAGCTATAGCATCGTGAGCAAACAAGCACCCCAAACTCCTCATCGGGAGGCTCCTTCTTTGGAGCAAAGGGAAGGCACAGCCAGGACTGCAGCAGAGTTGCCTTCCTTTTCACTTTCATTTCCTTTCCTTTTGTCACAGTACCCCTACCCGCCCACATCAGCCCTCGCCACCCCACCTCAGCAGCAACACTACTTCAGTCACTCTCTTGATATTCCATTTGCTGTAGTTAAGCTTGTATCTCTAGAGCTCAAGGTAAAACGAGAAGTGTTTCTCACATTACAGCTGCCAGACTAGTCCTCCCTACAATTAAGCCCAGCTAAGGTGTCACTCTTTACCAAAACTAGCTTTGAAAGACTGATTCCTACACATACTTCATTCAGTTTTTCCTAACTTTGAAGGTGCGGCTGAATGAAGATCATTCATTTCATCATCAATACAGCTATCACTAGGAATCCTTTGTAGTGCCTTTGTCATAAGTCATGTTTCTGATTAAATGGAGACTGGTTTGGGAATGACACTGTTGTGACAGACTCAAGGATGCTTTTTCCTTTTGGCTGGTCAGACTTGTTGACCTGATTAGGCTTAAGAGACTGAGCCAGTTTGCAATTTACTTAAAATTCAAAGTTTGCTGGGAGTCTCAGAATCAGATGCATCAACAGTCTCTCCACCTGTGTTAGAGGTGTCACTATGAAATTAAAAAAAAAACCAAAAAACAACAACAAAACCAAAAAACACACACACCCAAACATGTAAAGGACTGGTAACAAAGTGACTGTATTTTAAATGCAATCTACATCTTCCCTAGTCCACAGAGTTGGTATGTCAGTTCTGCAGACACTGAGAAAAGGTAAGGGTGCTTGCGCTCAAAACCCAGCTGGGAGGCAGGCTGGCATTTATCCCACAGAAAGTAGCCACTGTGCTTTTCAGCTTTGTTTTAAAGTAATCTGTTAGAAACAAGCTTAAGATGAGGGCATTCTTCATCAACACCTCTGTTTTCAAAAGAGCTGAAGAAATCAAGATTTAAACTTACATTGGGAGAGTTAAGTCTTTCAACACAGGGCATTAAAAACAATCTCAGAGATGTGCTCCAGCCTGGCAAGCACATACTCACAAACAAGAATGCAGCTCTAAAGAAAGCTGCACACAGCAGCCTGCAAAGTACTGCTCTACAGATACCCTCCTGCCACACTTTGATGCCATCAAGACAGAGATCGCATCTCAGGCAGTATGGGCTAAGTCACTTCAGCAACATGGTAAGCCTTTAAAAAGAAGGCCAACAAGGTGCCTTGGTAAGGACAGAGGTGCATTCTTGGTCATGTTTTGGTTCCTTCCTTTACCATAAATGTGTACTTCAGTCTAAGGAGTCCTACAGACCACTTACCACGGAGTAAGACCAGAACATGCCATGATCTAGCTCCAGCAGGCACTCAGATGGCAGTTACAGCTGGGCACAGCTAAGCTGTATGGTGTTTCACCAAAGCATAGACACGACTCAAGGTTTCCTCTGCCCTGCTCAGAACTAAGGCCTGCGAGATGCAAGCTAAGAAATACAAATGCATGGGAAGCATTTACACTTACTGGCTGGATGCCTGCTTTAGAAACTCTTCATCTGTGTGTTTGAAGGTGTCCAAAAGGCATCTCTTCACAGTTTTCTCCACGCTGACTACCTCACCTGTCAGACAGGGAAAACAGGAACTAAGCTCCAGCTAAAACGTATCTGACCTATCCCAGTCCCTCCCTTCGCTCATCCAACATTCAATCAGGCAGTGCATCTCTCAGACCCTGTGCAGAGGAGCTAAGGCACATCCTGGGCTCACATTATCAAAAATCTGCGCAGTAGCATGTATGAAGAATTTATGACATACCGCTCTCCCCCACGGGCATATTTTCACACTTGAAGTGGCACTGCCAAAACTGGCAACAGCGCATCTCACACTTGCTTAGTGGTTCACAACTGGCTACTTGTACCCTTGTGCCAAAAAGGCTTCCAGCTCTCTTCCCCAGGGGGGAAGCACAGTCTCGCAAGCCCAGTGGGAATAGGGGATAGGAACTGTAGAACTACACACAAACAAATCAGTTTCCCTATCCGTTGCTATAATGTCAAGGCAGAAAAGGTGATGGTTGTCCTACAGCCCTTATTCCACTCCTCTCACCTTTAGGAAATTTCTTAATCAGGTTTTGGTGCAGATTCTGTGCTGCAAATTTTGAGGCTCGGACTCCCCCGTGGCCATCAAAAACAGCGAAGTACGAGACACGTGTGCTGTGAGGGAAAAAAAAGAGTAGCAGAAAGGGGCTAAGAAAGGCTGTTAGCCAGATGGTGGGATCAAGTACATTCATCTCCATAACACCCTGCCCTGTGTTGGACAGACTGAATAAATACTGCACTCCAAGGCACGAACGAAGGTAGCAAGTCTCTAAGCTCACACATTCAAGCATTTACACAGTTTACTGTGCAAGCACTGAGCTGAGAACGTTCTTGTAATTTTCCACCCCTCAAGAAAATGAAGGGCAGAAGAGTTTATAGACCACAACTTGGCATAAAATCAGCTAAACATTTCACCTCAAGGGCACTACAACTCCCCAGCACTACACAGACATCAGTCTAACCAATCCTACAGTTCTTTCCATGCCTAAACTTGTTGAAACCATGCTACAGACAAGAAACTCAGATCCCTCAGCACATAAAGCTCTCGGGACAATATTGGTTCAGAAGCTAAATCCAGTATCAGGATGATGCTTGAGAGCGTTCCTTTAAATATACACACTTCCCCTACACATACTTATATGTATTAATTTGCTAAGAAATTTAAACTTTTCAAATGAGAGAGTTCTGACATCTGTTTTCTTTTCTTCGAGTGTTCTCCATTGCTACAGTTAAGGCTTTACACACTGTAAAATCCCCAGGGCAAGACCTGATTATTTATAATTAAACTGAGGGTCTCTAAACATCCACACTTACATTTGGGTAACAGAGGCTCAATATCCAGAGTTACCAAGCCCTCACAATCCTTGTGAAGTCAGTGACCGAATTCACTGAGCATCACTCAAAGGGAGGTATTTGTATATAAAATAGTCCTGTGATTTGCTCAGGAACACAGCTAACAATTCAACCTAAGTCCCCCAATAACAAGCCCAAACAACACACCGTGACACAGGTGTAGTCAAGTCAAACCAAAAAGGATCATATCATGGGCTTAGCTGAAGCAAGCTGGAGCTTCTTCACCCCTGTGATGGCTTCCATCCACAGCTTTATTCTGGCAGCTGGTGCCCACTTACATTTGGGAGGGCAGAGGCTGGCATTCCTCGGTGATATTGTTTAAGATAACATGTGCATCCTGCATGTCTTCTCTTTCACCTTTCCTCTCTGCCACATAACCCTTCAATCCAAGAATGCCCACTGACCCTAAAGGGGAACAAACCAAACACATGCACGCAAATCAAATTCCTCCGCCTCCTCAGCTAAGGCTAAAAACCAGTAAGTCAATGACCACTTTTCAGCTTTCAGAACCCTATCCTGGCACTGCAGTGAAGTACGGCCCTCATCCTGCAACAAAACTTCTGACACCTTCTGCTGAACAGGATATATTTATTTTGTAACATGGGTTTTTAAGTGCCCCAAAGGTCAGCAGCTATAAAAGCCACTTGCCCCCATTTTGGCAGGCAGCTGTAACCAAGCAGGACTGCTGGGCATCAGACAGGGCTCTTACCAAAAAGGGGTGGGGGGGCAGGGGGAACATGTGGCACTGAACCTGTAGATTAAACAAAACACAGCTTTAAAGAGGGTGCTAAGGACAGGAAATCAGGGTCTGCTGTTTCCAGAACATGTCCTTTCCTTTGTACCCCTGAACACATCTTATTCCCAAAGCTGCAACCTAACACATGGGCACCTGCACTGAAGTCAAAAGCCCTATATGTAACAGCAAGTCTCTCTCTGGCTTTCTTAGCAGCCACCCAGTGGAGAGATCTGTGGATGTGGAAGAAGAAACTGGTGTGACTCTAGCCTTCCAGAGGTTTCACAACCAATCCCCCTCTTGGCAGCAGAGTAACTTATCCTGCAAATGCCGAGGTGCTTGTTGCTCAGCTTCTGCCACTTCAGCAGGGCCGGTAAGAAGGCCCAGGTGAGGGAGGCAGAGAGTGCCAGGGAGCTTGAGGGGCTTCCACAGACTGCCACAGCACTTTGTTCCCTATGAGAGGCTGAAAAATGCAAGCAGACTGAAGAACCAAAGCTCTGGACTTACTCAGCCCAATGCCAAAAGTACAAATCGAGTACATTTGTTTTCAAACTGTCTGAAAACCTTTACAAACTTTCTTTTCCACAAGTTCTTCCCTGCCATTCTTCTCTTCCTCCTCCAAGGACTTTCTCTTCTCCCCTTTCCCATGGCTCCCTGCTGATGAGACCTGCTCAGTAGCACTGGAGGCTGAAAGAAAGCATAAATGCAGGCAGCTGAAGTCTTCCAGCTGTTTTACTTGCATAAATTCAGCAGCAATTCCTTTTATACCGAAGCACTCTCAGGAGCACAGGCTCGCACACTCACACAGTATTAAGTAACCAGATATTACTGAACAAAACATACTGACCCATGAACGTGCACACACAACTTCACTCAGCACATACAACCCATGGCACACATCGCTGTCTAACCCAGCAAGCACCAATTTGATCACTTTACATTGTGTGACCCCACCTCAGGCACAGTACAGTTGTGTTTGACTGGCAAGCTGCTGATTCTCCTCACCAACCCACAGTTTGTTTCTTAGCTACTAGCCTTTTTTGCAGTTAACTGCTCAGGAAGTTAATGTTTTGGGTTGGAATCCTTCTGTGTGGAAAGGGACCTGGGGGTTCTGGTGGACAGAAAGCTCGACATGAGTGAACAGTGTGCTGCTGCGGCCAAGAAGGCCAATAGGATGCTAGGTTGCATCAAAAAGAGCATCACCAGCAGAGATAAAGAAGTCATTATCCCACTCTACTCAGTGCTTGTCAGGCCACACCTGGAATACTGTGTACAGTTCTGGTCTCTGTTATACAAACCAGATGTTTGTTCAGACTTGAGAAAAGGAGGCTTGGAGGTGATCTCACCACCATGTACCAGTACTTAAAGGGGAGCTACAAAGAAGATGGAGACTCCCTTTTTACAAGGAGTCACATGGTGAGGAGAAGGGGTAACGGGTACAAGTTACTCCCAGGGAGATTCCAATTGGACACGAGAGGAAAATTTCTCACAATGATAACAGTAAACCATTGGAATAATCTCCCCAGGGAAGTGGTTGACTCCGCTATGCTAAACACTTTTAAGACTCAGCTGGACAGGGTGCTAGGCTATCTCATCCAGACTGTGCTCTTGCCTAGAAATTGGACCAGATGATCCTTGAGGTCCCTTCCAACCTGGTTTTCTATGATTCTATGATATTATTATTTGTGCCTACAAACTGTGCCCACAACAATGCAAAGAAATGTATTTTATTACTCTGAATGTGCATATTTGTTAGGGGTTTCAGAAGACAGGTTTCAACGTAAAGCTAGCAAGCAGAATATGATCCCTATGACATCAGAACCCTAGCCACCTTCTTCTGGAGATTTATTCTCATATAATATAGCGAATTATCTCACCTCCTCCCAGGTGCTAGCAAACACTTGGCTGCATGCAGAAAGCCCTGCCAGACCAGCGGTCTGGTTTTGAAGACATTTACAGCTAGGAACAAGAAGGCAGTCTGTGCCCACAGCAGAAAAGCAACAGAAGCAAGGGCAGTGGCAGCGCCAAGCCAGCACTGCCTTTGCTCTTAGCAAGCACACACATACTTTCACTCTCAAAGCAGGGAGCTTTCAGGCACAGATGATGGGGGTCCTCAAAAGACATCTGAGGGATGTACTTCTGGGAACAGACCTAAGTTTAAAGAGTCAGAATCCCGATATAAACAATCAGGGCACAAACAGATCACCAGGACCAGTGTCAGCCAACCCAGGCACCAGCTTAACTTGCCATGTGTCCAACACAACAGGCTACATCAGTGGGTCTTCCTGAGAAGGGCAGGTCAGCAGAGGTTTGGTGAGCCAACACAGCTCTTTACCTGTGTCACCACTGCTGGCTGGCGGAAGATCATCAAAGAGTAAAGAGCCTCCTTTTCCTAAAGCACAAGAAAAAGGCAAGAAGAACCAAATACTTTTGTCCCTTTGAGGGAATAATGCTCTGTGTACACCCGTCCTCAGGTGCGGAAATTATAAAATGCCAGTTTACAAAAGTGAGCCAAATTTCAACTTCTGTTACTGAATGGCGGGGGCAAACTCAGGGCTTACATTTGTTTCAGGGAGTATTTACATGGAACATATTATGGAACATATGTGGAACATTTAGAACATTCTGGTTATCCAAAAAAAAAAAAAACACAAGAAGAGGAAAGCAGCTGCTCTGCACACTGGTGCTGATAACCTGACTGTCTTTATTCTAACAAAGAAAAGGTTTTGCACAAGTTTCATCTCAAGAGATACTGATAAAACACAGGAAGCCAAACTAATGGCAGGAATGGAGTACCCATACCTGAGTCAGCACTGCTGGCTGATGGGAGATCATCGAAGAGCAGAGGCCCTTTCTGGGCTTCCTTCCCTGTAAGACACCAGGGCAGAGTCAGGACCTGTTACAGGCACCCAGGGGTTGGTTTCTGGAAGCACTGTCCCCCAGGTGAGCACAGGTGGAGTAACAGAGGAGAGTCTGGACTAACTTTCTTCCATCTCTAATTTAGGCAGCTCCTACACTAGCAAAACAACCACCTGCCTGGGGATAATGTGAACTTTTATCTTGAAAACAGCTTTTTTTTTTTTTTTTTTGCTAAGAATCCACTCAACTTGCGTTAACATCCCTCAGCAGCCCCATCAAGATGTTATAGGATGAGAGGGGCCCAGAAAGCACCAAATTATTTCAGGTAACACCATTACAGCTCTCCACAGACCCACGACCTGCAGCAGCACAGAGAGGGGAAAGGCTCCAGCATGGCCTAAACCGCACAGATACCACTCTGCACCTGAAAAAGTCCCAGAAAAAAAGAAAAGCACAAAAAAAACCCCAAACCTTGTAATTTCTCCAGTGATTTTTAAGCCACCCCCTCCTGCAGCCGCCCCCTCAAAACCCCCGCCCCGTCCCTCAGGCGCTGTGGGCCCTCCGCTGCTGCCGCTGCCCCCCCCCCCCCGGGG